GATTTCCCTGTGGGTGAACATGTGCACATGCTGGGATGGTGGCACCCCCAACTCCTCCAGGACAGGCACTCTTGAGCTTGGGACCCTTCCAGAGCTTGCCCTCTGTGCCTCTTCACCTGGCTGTTCTCGGTGTCCTTCATCATCTCCTTTCTAATAAACCTGTCAACAGAAGTGTTTCCTTGTGTTCTGTGAGCCATCGCAGCAAATGATCGAATCTTGGGAGGCCCCGATTTGTAGCCAAGTTGGGCAGAAGTGTGGGTAACTTCGGGACCCACTGCCTGCAATTGGTATCTGAAGTGGGGGGCAGTCTTGTGGGACAGGGCCCTTTGCTTGTGAGATTTGACCCTCACTCCAGGGAGATAGTGTCAGAATTGAGCTGACTTGTAGGACACCCAGGGGGTGTCTGAGAGTCCGAGCATTGGTTGATGTAGGAAAATCCCCACACATACTTGGTGTCAGAAGCGTTCTGTGTGAGTAGAAAAAAACAGGTTTTCACATTTAACAGGGTATCTTGGCCAGGAACAGTGGCTCACACTTGTAACCCCTGCACTTTGGAAGACCAAGGTAGGAGGATAGCTTGAGGCCAGGAATTCGAGACCAGCCTAGGCAACAGAGCGAGACCCCTGTTGCTACAAAAAATACAAAAATTAGCCAGGTATGGTGGTGCACACCTATATTCTCAGGTGCTTGAGGGGCTGAGGTGGGAGGATCGCTTGAGCTCAGGAGTTCAAGGCTGCAGTGAGCCATGATCCTGCTGTTGTACTCCAGCCTGGGTGACAGAGTGACACCCCATCTCAAAACTAAGAATAAAAATTAAGCTTTTTTTTTTTGAGACGGAGTCTTACTCTGTCACCCAGGCTGGAGTGCAGTGGTGTGATCTCGGCCCACTCTGACCTCCGCCTCCCAGGTTCAAACAATTCTCCTGCCTCTGCCTCCTGGGTAGCTGGGATTACAGGCACGTGCCACCACACTCGGCTAATTTTTCTATTTTTAGTAGACGGGGTTTCACCATGTTGGTCAGGCTGATCTCGAACTCGCGACCTCATGATCCGCCCACCTTGGCCTCCCAAAGTGCTGGGATTACAGACGTAAGCCACCGCGCCTGGCCTACAGCTCTTTTGAAACTTTTAAAAAATACACTGTATGATGCAGAAAATATTAGTATGTGTTTCTCTGCTATTAGTTTGAGGGCTCCAGGATAGGACCACATTCTGTTCTCCTTGGTACTCACAGAACCTAACTCAGACCTGGCATGGGATTGGCATTCAGGAAATACTGGGATGAGGGTTATGAGTAAGTCACGTTTGTAAGCTGCTATATGGGGTTCTATATTACTCGTTGGGTTTATTTCTACATCTAACATCCCGGAGCTTCTAGTCAAGTCTTATTCAGATGTTGTATCTGATCTCCGATGTCCTGGGGAATTAAGGAAGGAAATTAAAGTTTCTGTGCCAAATTGAAAAAGGGCAAAGAATAACCCTACCCCCATCCTCTCTTCCTCCCATTCTCTCAGGCCAGCAGAAATGATCAAAAGTTCCTATGGGTAAGGCAAACTTCATGGAGAAGAGCTGGGGCATCGAGGACCACCTCTTGATCATTCTCTACTTCTAGTCTCAGAGGATTTAACTGCCTTTTTTTTTTTTTTTTTTTTAAGACAGTCTTGCTCTTGTCACCCAGGCTGGACTGCAATGGCGTGATCTTGGCTCACTGAACTTCTGCATCCTAGGTTCAAGGGACTCTCCTGCCTCAGCCTCCTGAGTAGCTCGGATTACAGGCGCATGCCACCACGCCCAGCTAATTTTTGTATTTTTAGTAGAGATGGGGTTTCACCATGTTGGCCACGCTGGTCTCGAAGTCCTGACCTCAGGTGATCCACCCACCTCGGCCTCTCAAAGTGCTGGGATTACAGGTGTGAGCCACCACGCCTGGCCAGGATTTAACTTTCACTGGATTAAGGAAAGCAGCAGGTTTCTAAGGGAGACTATGCCTATGTTAGATTGACAGTCCAGTGCATGTTCCAGCAGCCTGCACCAGCCTGTACTTTGATGGAAAATACCGTAAAATAATCTGATTTAAGCAGGAGCTAACAGCTGAAGCTTCTCATGGTCCTGCCTAGAAAGGTATGCTAATATTTCATTAGTCTCAAGATCAGTGAAAACTATAAAAACCTAGAACCTAAAACATTCTGGGCTTTTTAATGTGCACCTTCTGTATTTTGCATTTTTCTAATAATAGTTACCTACTGAACTACAGGTACTCTGCTAGTTACATAATTTATACTGTTGGTAACCCTCACAACCCTGCAAGGTAAAATATTGCAACACCTACCTTCACCCATAGATAAGGTAGGAGAGGCTACCAAGGTACAAAGCTTATGATATCCCCAAACTGGAGACCTTACAAGGTTGCATGTTTCTTGGAGCCTAAGCTAATTTTCAGACTTCTTACTCTGCTGAATTATTATTTTTTTAAGGGCCAGTGATTACTTGTAGGTTTTTTCCTTTCTTTTTAAAAACTGACCTCCAACATGTCTCCATCAAAACAGTGCATGCATTTTGAATTCATGTGTGCAAAAATGTTTCAGAATGGGCACTCGAAAGGGACAATATAAAAGGGAAGGGGGAGAGGGGACACGTGGCTGACCAAGTCGAATCACATTTCAAGTTCTAGTCCTCCAGGCCTGCGATGCATGAAGAATCTGTATGCCAAACTTCCTCTTCTGCAAGGATCCTCCTCCTGGCCTTCTGAATCTCCTAGGTCAGCTCAAATCCTGGCTCTTGCTTAAGGCCTTCCCCGCCACTGCAAATAAAACACTTCTTTTCCATATTCTGATAATGCTTATAGTCCAATTGCGCATTTGAAACTTAATCAGGGTTGGCTTTGCATTTTCATTTAAATGTGTTTTCCATGGTTTAACTATCAAGGTCACAAGGGCTAAGGGCCACATTTCTTCTTATCCCTTTGTCACAGATGGTACTGTGGATGTAGAAGTTGCTTGATAAAACTTGATCAGTGACTAAGTAGTTGAAAAATAAATGAATTTGGAATAATTCAGGGACTAAGTAGATTAGAATGGCATTAATAACAACTGACATTTTAAAAAGTACTTTAAAGTTTGTAAAATATTCCTCAGCAGTCTCATTTGTACCTCACAATAACCCACAGAGAAAACTGACTCAGAGAGGGTAAGTGGCCTGCTCTTGAAACCCAGATCCTCTTACTCCAAAGTTTGCATTATTCCATAATAGTTGACCTCAAGTATGGATGTAAGATTAAGTCTGGACACTGTTCTCTACCATTAAACATCCTTACCAGCAGAGGGCGCAAGAACATGCATGGATGGGTCTTGGAGTCAGATGGGTTTGTATACTGGCCCACCCCAGCTAAGAGCTAGATGACTTGGGGCAAATTATTTAATTTTTCTGAGCCTCGTCTGTAAAATATCGATAATGCTTTCACCACCACCACAGGGTGGTTATAAAGATTAGAAATACTCTGTGGCTGGCATACAGTAGGTGAACAATAAACCATATCTCAAGATCCCCAGAAGGGGGTCACGGAAGCAGTTTGGAGAGTAGACATTTTCTCTTTTTTTTTTTTTTTTGAGACGGAGTCTCGCTCTGTCCCCTAGGCTGGAGTGCAGTGGTGCAATCTCAGCTCACTGCAAGCTCCGCCTCCCAGGTTCATGCCATTCTCCTGCCTCAGCCTCCCCAGCTGCTGGGACTATAGGCATACGCCAGCACGCCCGGCTAATTTTTTGTATTTTTAGTAGAGACGGGGTTTCGCTGTGTTAGCCAGGATGGTCTCGATCTCCTGACCTTGTGATCCGCCCACCTCGGTCTCCCAAAGTGCTGGGATTACAGGCGGAGCCACCACGCCTGGCCGGAGATTAGACATTGATTCTTATTTGATGCTTTAATAAATATTTGAAATTAGTTTCATACTTCACACTTCACGTAGACAAAAGGTTACAGAAAATGAAGGTTATAAAAAATGAATATTGATAGAAACTTTTTAGTATTTTTTTAGTCGATGTATCATGGTTGTACATATTTTGGGGGATGATAGAAACAATTCAATACCCAGTAAAATTGTAAGAAAGCAGACTGAACAACCTTTATGGATGAAAACCTTAAAAACATGAAATGCCATTTGCCCCAGCATCTATTTAACCTAAGAAAATAATATTGGGTGGTAGCAAGATTTAGAAAAACAAAAAGGAAGTCATCATCACTTTGTAAGAGCAAACGTGGAAACCACAAATTTATTAAATGCACAGGTTTAAAAGGGTACAGTCTCTCCATCAAATTGAACACTATGTAGTCATTAAAATAAAAATTCTTCCATGTAGAAAAATATTCTACATGGAAAGATAATCAACACAGCAGGCAAAAATCACAAGAGACAAAACAGCCCGATTTCACTTTTGTTTAAAAAACACACCCAAGGCCAGGCATGGCAGCTCACACCTGTAATCCCAGTGCTTTGGGAGGCCACCATGGGAGGACTGATTGAGGCTGGAAGTTCCAGACCAGCCTGGGCAACATAGTGAGACTTCAACTCTACAAAAAAATTTTTTCTCTTTTTTTTTTTTTGCTCTGTCACCCAGGCTGGAGTGCAGTGGCACGATCTTGGCTCACTGCAACCTCCGCCTCCTGAGTTTAAGCCATTCTCCTGCCCTCCTGCCTCAGCCTCCCCAGTAGCTGGGATTACAGGCATGTACCACTATGCCCAGCTAAGTTTTGTATTTTTAGTAGAGACAGGGTTTCACCATGTTGGCCAGGCTGGTTTCAAACTCCTGACCTCATGATCTGCCTGCCTAGGCCTTCCAAAGTGCTGGGATTACAGGCTTGAGCCACTGTGCCGGGCCAAAATTTTTAAAAAAAATTAGCCAGGTGTGGTGGTGGGTGCCAGTAGTCCTAGCTATTCGGGAGGCTGAGGCAGAGGGAATCGCTTGAGCCCAGGAGTTGAGTCTGCAGTGAGCTGTGATCACACCACTGCACTCCAGCCTGGGTGACAAGCTAAAAGAATATATATACATATGTCTCTTTAAAATACATGAAAATACAAAACAGATATCAAAAATTAAGTTTAACGTCATTTCCACAGAAGAGATTGTTAGTGATACCCCTCCTTTTTTTTTTCTCCTCTTTGCTTATCTTATGTTCTCTGAAATTAACGTTTATCACTTTTGAATGAAGGAAAATATATTTTACAGGAACACTGTTGGAGTCTTTCACTTAACACTGCCTTCCAACCAGGCCAGTGGTCATGTAAATTAACTCGATTGTCATAAAAGGGCTTGGAAGTTTCAAGGTAGTTAGCCAAAATAATTAAAATCCTGGTGAAATTTCACAGAGCTGGCCATTGAGCTTTGACTTCACTGATATGAGGCTGCTGTAAATAGACTCCAGGCTCCAGGTTTTCAAAAGGCCTAAAAACAGTACAAAATAAAATATAACAACAATTGTTCATGTAAAGGGCCACGTGCCATCTCTGTCCTGAGCAAATGTAACCTGAAACCCTCTGGCACTCCAGGTTGGCGGCACCTCTCTGGACAGGGTGTATTTGCTCTCCATTACTCAATTTACTTTCCTGAGCTTGAAATGGAGTGGAATTTCAATGTAGAGTTACCCATTAGCTCCAGGGCTAAATTTAAACCTTTAATTAAATTAATCCGTTGATCTTAAACACGTTGCTTCTCCCTCAAAAGTGTAGCAGGTGTTTTAGGTGTCACAGAGCTTAATTCAGTGTGGCAATTGTTTCTTACTGCATTTGGTAAGTTGCCCACACCGCCTGGGGAAACTCGCACACGTTTTCAGATCCCTCCAGGTGAATCCCTTCACCCTGTCCCCACCCCCAACCAAAACAAGCATTCATTGCGGGTGGGGACTGCGACTCCTCCCAGATTCAGAGCTACTGCTCTGGGAGGTCTTCAGGAACCCGTATTTATAGAAGACATGGTAGGTGCCAAACGTGTGTTTATGAAATAAACGACAGATAACTGTCCACATTGGTCCCAGTTTATGCGGGAGAAAGATCATAATCTACAAAAATTTGCAAGGTGACCAGGAGAAAAGAGTGTAAGGTCATTTTAGCCCACCTCGGTATTCACAGAAAATGGAGCATATTTCAGACCCAAAGTAAAAAATTTGCGTTGGCCTTTGCTAAGAGAGAGATGAAAAGTGACAATACCATGGATTGGGGATGCGTGAATTCGTTGGTCACATGGAAGATGTTCGTGCTTCTGGGCTCTTACGCATCCCAAGGCGTGCATTTATCCCGAGGGCTGCATCTTGGCCTGGGAACGAATGAGACCCAACCGCAATGGTTGTTAGCGATAACTTTACGGTGGGACAGTCTCCATAGGGGCTGTAGACTTACCCGTGTTATTATGAATAAGGACCTATTTACTCCTCAGGGACCAACGGCCTTGCGGGGTCTAAGTAACTCGCTCTCAGTCTAAAACTCTGCAACGCTCCACATAACTCCTGTAGACCCACAACTCTCCCAGGAGCACAGCCCCAGGACCTAACCCACTGGGTTCTGCTCGCTCCCCCAATTCCCAGTGCGAGCGCGCGGGGGAAACGTGCTCGCCTCCCGCACCTGGCTTCCGCGCGCCCCGGGAGTCGCCAACTCCCCCAGCAAGCAGCTCGGACAACCCGGACAGCCGGGCCGATCCCCCGCCCCACCATCCGCTCGGCTCTTCCGTCCTCCTCTTCCTCCTCCCGCGGCCCCTCGCCTCCCGCCGCCTGCCTCTGCGGCCGCCGCCTGCGGCTTTGTTTTCCTCCCAGGTCGCATTCCCCACACGTGATTCCGTGTTATTGCAAAGAGCGCTTTGGAGCGCGAGCGCGGGGCGCGCGCACCTATAAATACGGACACCGGGCCCCGGAGCCCGCGAGCCAGCGGCGAGGCGACCGGCGGGCAGCCAGCCAGCGAGCCGAACGAGCCGAGCGAGTCAGCGAGGCGCGCGCGTGGGCCGGGGCGGCGGCGCCCCCAGCCCGAGCACCGAGGGGCGAGCATGGCCCGCCCGCGGGGGGGCTGGACCGCCGCGCACGCCGCCCGATCCCCGCGCCCTGCCCAGCCCGGGTCGCCGCCGCTCGCGCCCGCTTAGCCTCGGCGCCGCTCGCTTCCGGGCATCGCGGAAATCGCCCGGGCAGCGACGGACACAATGGCGGCGGCGGCCGCCACCACGGCCGCCTGCAGCAGCGGCAGCGGCCGACACCGACCGCCGCGGGCCGCCAGCGGATGCAGCAGGCCGCCGCCGCAGCCCAGCCCGCGGCCGCCGCGCCGCCCAGCCGCCGCCCGGAACCCCCCGGAAGCGCGCGTGGACCGCGGCGCCGCCAGGCTGCCCCTCTCCTCTCCTCACAACATCTCGCTTGGACGGCCGGCCGCCGCCGGCAGTACACGATGGGGCGGCGGCGAGGAGGGCGGCGCGGCCAAGCCGGGCGCCGGCGGCGCCTGCGGCGGGAGGACTCGGTTCAGCCTGCTCGCCGCCGCCGAGCGGGGCGGCTGCATCGCGCTCGCAGCGCCCGGCACGGCGGCTGCGGGGTTGGCCGCTGGGTCCGGCCCTTGCCTCCCACAGCCCTTGTCGCTGCCGCCCTTAATCGCTGGCGGCCATGCGACCGTGTCCGGCCCCGGGGTGGCTCGGGGATTCGCGAGTCCCCTGGGCGCCGGCCGGGCGTCGGGGGAGCTGTGGCAGCCGCCCGGGCCGGCGCCTCTCGCCGCCTGTGCCCAACTGCAGCTGCTCGACGGGTCCGGGGGCGCCGGGCAGGAGGAGTTGGAGGAGGACGATGCCTTTACCGGCGTGCAGGTGCCGGCGGCCGCCTTTTTGGGCTCCGGGACCCCCGGCAGTGGGAGCGGCAGTCGGGGACGCCTCAACTCGTTCACTCAGGGAATCCTGCCGATCGTCTTCTCCAGACCGACTTCGCAGAACTACTGCTCCCTGGAGCAGCCAGGCCAGGGCGGCAGCACCAGCGCCTTCGAGCAGCTGCAGAGGTCCCGGTGAGTATCGGGGATGCGACGCGCACCCAACCCTGCGTCCCTCCCCGCGCCAGGCGCGTCCAGCCTGCCCACGGTCTCTGGGTTACGGGCTACGGGTTGCTCCCATTTTCCCGCTCCCTGTGCTCCGGGCCCGAATCCCAAACCACGAGGGCACCCGAAAGAGGGGGTGTCCGCAGGGAGTGCTTGGTCACACGTGTGTGCACGAGCCCAGCACTCTGAGAGGAGCACCGTGCTTGTGCAGTGGGTCGGGAGTTGCAGGAGCCCAGTAAAAAGCGGCGTCTTAGCCTCCCCACACGGTATCACAAACTTCGTGAAACCCGGTCCAGACCCGGAGGCGCACTCCTCCCGCACGGGGCGAGACTCGGCAGGGCGCAGAGTGGAGCAGTGCAGGCCGGCAGCTGAGCGGCGCATGTGAGCCTGAACTTGTAGGAGACACGCGTGACCCTCCGGAGAAGTTATTGCCTGCGCTCCAAGTCTTCCTGCGGCCCGGGGAAACTTGGCTTTTTCCATTTGCTTTCCTGAGCAATGGAAAGTCCTTCTTACATTCCCTTCAACTAGGCCTAGGGGGTGGGTAACAAAGAGGAAATAGGGCTTGACGGGTTTTTTTCCTGTTCCAAGATGAATTCGCTTGAGTTCTTTAAACGCTTGTTTTACTTGTTTGTTAGCTAAAGTTATCTGGCGGCATTATGCATCTTAGCAAAAACATGAAATGCTGGACGTATGCTTATTCTTCAGGAAACAGTTTGTCACCATATATTCTAAGGGGCAGTCGGAGGTTGGGACTGTGTGAACTGAAGCTTGCAAAAGAAGTAGGCGGGAGCAGGTGGGGAGATGCAGATCCGTCCCCAGGGAGTGCCCTCCCTTGTTGGTTAATAAGGCCTCTTGTGAAGTTAGCAATAGCATAGACTCTACCTTGACAAAGTTGTCTTAACTTCCTGGGGTCTCAGTTATCCCTTCTGAGAAGGAATGCCTTTCTCTGCTAGAATTTCTCTCTCCTATCATGCTTTATCTGAAAGCTTGATCTGGCCCAAGTAAGAAGGTGCCTGTGAGAAAACTTAACTTCCTCCCGCAATGGACAAATGGGGAAGAACAGGACCGCCTTATCCACAAGTTTGCTCCTAGTGTATGTACTTCTTCCTAAGTGGGTGAAATCATGAGGGTGCTAGTTACGTAGCCTCGCTGTTTCAGTGCACATAGCCCTCAAGCAGGGGTGTGGAGCCGGGGAAGCAGCCTCCTGAGTGCATGGATGAATTAGCCACACTGGGCACAGGTGACAGCCCTACTCCGGTGTTTCTTGTCAGAGCATGCATCTGCTCAGCAGCAGGTGAGTGCAGGGAGGTGGAATCCCTTGTTTCTGGGTGAGTCCTGCAAACTCAGCGGTTTCTTAGCTCAGTATTACCGCTTGACATCACACACTGGCTCATGATGACTCCAGAATTGCAGCCTAAGCCCAGCAGTCAAGAGGGTTATGACAGGAATTGTAATAAACATACATGGTATTTTAAGCCAGTGTGCAAAGCTGGCTTGTGTCTCCTGATGGACAGATGTGTCGTCCATGCTAAAGGCAGCTGGAGATCAGATTACCTCGCACGCTTTCTCCAAGAAACTCATTTCACGGGATATGGAGGATCTTGTGTGCTCACATTTCTGAACCAAAGAATATCCAGAACTACACCTCCAGTCCTATAAATATGAACCTTTTAGGCGTTTTATTGATCCTTTCCACCTTGACACACACATTAGGATGAGTTAATCATTGGAAGATGCTTCTTTACCTGACAGTCACTTTAGTCCTATTTCTGAATAATCCATATCTGGCAACCTGATAGGCTTTTATAAAATTACAGCTGTGAATAGAAACAGCATAAAATTTCAGTACAAAGGGGAAAATAGGTTAAACTGATTTAAGAAAGGTGGAAAGGCTAGGTTAGCTGTGGAAAGGCTACAGACTTGAAATATCCTAGGACACTTTGTTTCCAACACCCCGTGGCTTGCCTATCACTAGAGTACTTCCACCTGCCTAGTCGAAGTGTGCTGAGAGCACAGACTCACTTGAATAAGGCCCGGGGCCAGCTTTTCTGGTTTGCATTTGTGGAAACCTTTCCTGGTGTGCCTCCTTGCTAGCCTATGTGTTTCCATGTACATGTGACCTCACGGATGTTCTCCTGGGATGTTTTCAAATCAAATTGTATTTTCCTTGGATTCATTTCTTGCCATTAGAGGAATACCATAGCACCTTGCTCCTCCAAAATGTGGGGTTTGCACCTTCAACTTGACGGGGAGCAGTTAGAAATGCAGACTCTTCCCCTATTCCAGACTAAGCGAGTCCAGATCTGCATTTTAACAAGATCCTCAGGTGATTTGTATACACATTAAAGTTCCACAAGCGTTGCCACAGTGTATCTGAAATCTGCCCTTTTAAAAAAATGAATTTGAGGTTTTATATATTGGGTTTGTTTCAGGTATATAAAAATTAGAATGTCGGGCCGGGTGCAATGGCGCATGCCTATAATCCCAGCACTTTGGGGAGGCCGAGGCGGGCAGATCACCTAAGGTCAGGAGTTCAAGACCAGCCTGGCCAACATGGTGAAACCTCATCTCTACTAAAAATACAAAAATTAGCTGGGTGTGGTGTTGCACTCCTGTAATCCCAGCTACTTGGGAGGCTGAGGCAGGAGAATCGCTTGAACCCAGGAAACGGAGGTTGCAGTGAGCCAAGATTGCACCATTGCATCCCAGCCTGGGCAACAAGAGTGAAACTCCATCTCAAAAAAAAAAAAAATTAGAATGTTTCCCAATCTGCAATCTTGAAACCCTTTCTTCTTGGTTACTTTCATTGGAACACTTGTAAAACCAATCACAAATAATTGCTTGGACTTCCAAACTTTACAACACACAGGTAAGAAAATTTCTGTGTGCAAGCTTTGGCACGACAAGGTGCACAGTAAATGCTTGTGGATGCAGTGATTACACCACCTCTGTTCACTGGACTGGATTCTTGACATCTATTGTATTTAGCCCTCATAGTCACCCTGAGTATAGATTCTTTCACAGGTGAGGAGACCACAGGCTCAGAGAGGTAGTAATTTCTCAGACTGGCCCAGCTACTGAGAGGCACATATGATAATCTGACTTAGTTGGGCCAGGATAGGAACCTGGATCATTGATGTCCAAGCTCTGCCACTCTACCATGTCACTATACCTTGCACACAATAGACCCAGAGATAATTTTTGAGCTGTTGGCTGTAAATGTTTGTCTCTTATACAACCGGCCAGTCACACTAGTGTAATTCAGCAGCCCCTTTCTTATCCTTCCAAATTTAGCCTCTTTGTTTGGATCCCCTAGCTTGATATTTCACCGTCTCTACTCTGTTGCAGTGTCCCGGGAACCCAGGACTGTGAGCCTGGGTTCCTCCCAGCCTCACGGACGGGACTCTAGCAGTAGGAAGCCCAACAGGCTAGGTTTGCTCTCAGGCTGCAGTGTCAAGAGGTGGGAAGCCAAAAAGATGCCTCTTAGCTTCATGCCCTTTCGTGTTTCTCTGCTCCGGCAGTGAACGGTGCATCTGGAAGGTGTTAATAGGTGAAAGGGAGTGTGAATTTATAAGGTATGCATTAAGTCTTCCTTTCCCTTCAAAAACTTCCTTGCAGCCAGCAGCTGGCCTCAGCCCTGGGTTACTCCCTGGAGATTCTGGCTAGCGGACAGCTCCCCAGGAGGACATGAAGTTGAGCCCAGGTGAACGCTGTGCATGGTGACCAGGGTACTATTTTTCTTTCTTTCGTTTTCTTTTTTGAGATGGAGTCTTGCTCTGTCGCCTAGGCTGGAGTACAATGGCACCATCTCAGCTCACT